GCAATGGAGAAGGCTTGTTTTCTCGGAGCTTGGGTTAAGTGGTTGTCTGGCAGCGGAGGCAGTGTTTGGGTTAGCAGGGCTGTCTTCCTTAGATCTTCTATTTTTGTCAAGATTTGGGTTACATTCTATTGAATGAATACAAGAATCCACCCATTAACTGAATTCAACTATCCAATACAGTGGAACCTCGCCTAACGAACGCATCGCATAACGTTAAATCCGCCTAGCGATACATTTTAACGCAAAAATTTTGCCTCGGCTAGCGCTAAAAAACTCGCTCAACGCAGTTCGTTCGAGACGCGTCCACGTGCGGCCCGAGCCCGCCTCACTTGTTCCGTGGGTGCCAGTGTTTACAAGCCAGCCACCGTGGTCGCTTCCAAGCATACAATCGGAACATTTCATATTATCACAGCCTTTTTAGTGATTGCACCTGCAAAATAAGTCACCATGGGCCCCAAGAAAGCTTCTAGTGACAACCCTACAGCAAAAAGAGTGAGAATTACAGTGGATATGAAGAAAGAGATCATTGCTAAGTATGAAAGTGGAGTGCGTGTCTCCAAGCTGGCCAGGTTGTACACAAAACCCCAATCAACCATCGCTACTATTGTGGCCAAGAAAACGGCAATCACGGAAGCTGTTCTTGCCAAAGGTGCAACTTTGTTTTCGAAACAGAGATCGCAAGTGATAGAAGATGTTGAGAGACTGTTATTGGTGTGGATAAACGAAAAACAGATAGCAGGAGATAGCATCTCTCAAGCGATCATATGTGAAAAGGCTAGGAAGTTGCATGACGATTTAATTAGAAAAATGCCTGCAACTAGTGATGATGTGAGTGAATTTAAGGCCAGCAAAGGTTGGTTTGAGAGATTTAAGAATCGTAGTGGCATACATAGTGTGATAAGGCATGGTGAGGCTGCCAGTTCAGACCACAAAGCAGCTGAAAAATATGTGCAGGAATTCAAGGAGTACATAGACAGTGAAGAACTGAAAACCTGAACAAGTGTTTAATTGTGACAAAACAGGCCTGTTTTGGAAGAAAATGCCAAACAGGACGTACATTACTCAGGAGGAAAAGGCACTCCCAGGACATAAGCCTATGAAAGACAGGCTTACTCTGTTGATGTGTGCCAATGCTAATGGTGATTGCAAAGTGAAGCCTTTATTGGTGTATCACTCTGAAACTCCCAGAGTGTTCAGGAAAAGCAATGTCCTCAAGGCTAATTTGTGTGTGCTGTGGAGGGCAAACAGTATGGCATGGGTCACTAGGGACTTTTTCTATGACTGGTTACACCATGCATTTGCCCCCACTGTGAAAAATTACCTAATTGAAAAGAAATTAGACCTTAAGTGCCTCCTGGTATTAGACAATGCTCCTGGTCATCCTTCAGACGTGGCAGAGCGACTTTCTGCGGAAATGAGCTTCATTAAGGTCAAGTTTTTGCCTCCTAATACCACTCCTCTCCTGCAGCCCATGGACCAGCAGGTCATTTCCAACTTCAAGAAACTGTACACAAAAGCTATGTTTGAAAGGTGCTTTGTAGTGACCTCAGAAACTCAATTGACTCTAAGAGAGTTTTGGAGAGATCACTTTAGCATACTCAATTGTGTAAACATTATAGGTAAGGCTTGGGAGGATTGACTAAGAGGACCTTGAACTCTGCTTGGAAGAAACTGTGGCCAGAATGTGTAGACAAAAGGGATTTTGAAGGGTTTGAGGCTAACCCTGGGAATCCTATGCCAGTTGAGGAATCCATTGTGGCATTGGGGAAGTCCTTGGGGTTGGAGGTTAGTAGGGAGGATGTGGAAGAGTTGGTGGAGGAGGACAATGAAGAACTAACCACTGATGAGCTCCTAGATCATCTTCAACAGCAAGAGGCCACACCTGAGGAAACTGCTTCAGAGGAGGGGATAGAGAAATTGAGGAAGTTGCCTACTTCAAAGATTAAGGAAATGTATGCAATTTGGCTTAAAGTGCAAACCTTTTTTGATGAAAATCACCCTCACACAGCTATTGCAAGCCGTGCTGGTGACTATTACACTGACAATGTTGTGAAACACTTTAGGAATGTCATAAAGGAACGGGAGGTACTGGCCTCTATGGACAGATATGTTGTGCGACAGAGGTCCAGTGACTCTCAAGCTGGTCCTAGTGGCATTAAAAGAAGAAGGGAAGTAACCCCGGAAAAGGACTTGCCACCTCAAGTCCTAATGAAAGGGGATTCCCCTTCTAAACACTAACACCATCAACACTCTCCCTTCCTCCCATCCCATCAATCATCACCAGATCTTCAATAAAGGTAAGTGTCATGTAACTGTGCATGTCTTCTTCAGTTTGTGTGTATTAAAATTAATATTTCATGTGATAAAAATTTTTTTGTTCATACTTTGGGGTGTCAGGAACGGATTAATTTGATTTCCATTATTTCTTATGGGGAAAATTAATTTGCCTAACGATAATTTCGCCTAACGTTGAGCTCTCAGGAACGGATTAATAGCGTTAGGCGAGGGTCCACTGTACAGTGGTCAGAATTTAGCAATTTTGCCAATTTCACACAAATTTCAAATGATGCCAATTTCCAGATAGGGTCCAGAATAAACAAGAAAGACATTCCTGGCACTAAAATAACATTTCCTCTATTCGTTAGTCACATCCCCAGGCCTCTCTTATATTTCGTTGGCTTTCCACTTTCAATTTTTATTCTTACAAAAAATAGAAGATTTACTGTTATGCAGACTGCTGCATTAGTGTAGAAATGGTATAAATAATATCAGCGCACTTGTGAAAGAATATTAGATTCACCAGTTGACGTGTATTGGACGCTTGGCATGATTTGTTTACTTTTGAACTTTGGTAAAAATCGAACATTTCTGCTACTTTGAGCTCAATTTCAAGGTACTTTTCATTGTAAAACCAGTCAAAATCATCTCAATTTCTGTAATATGTCTTCCATTCTATAAAATGAGACCAAGAAAACTAGAATACAACAATACCATACGAAAATACAGTGCAAAGTCGCTGTTTTATTCCAAAAACACGGTCAAAGTTTTTTTTTTCTTATTACGCACTGTGTGCTGCAGGATTTTTTTTATACTGCGTACACTGACCACATAGACCCATTCTTTCATATGTATGCCTACCAGCTTTCTCCCACTAGATTTGAGGGCGCTAGAATTTAGGCGTACTTGTACGTCAAAAACCCTGGGTCGTAAGCCGTACTAGTATGGCCGAAACCCTCAAAGGGTTAAACAGAGCTAGTCCTAAGTCAGAGTTGGCTGTATTTGTCTCTGAAGTAGTGCCTATGCATTCTACTACAGTTTTCTAGGAATTGTTCAAGTTCAGCATCAGCATTACAGCACAATGTTTTGAATATGTAGACTGAACAGTTGTATGTATGAATTGCATTTTTATTTAGCAGCTTTAGGGATTTCAGTAAGGACAATGTTTTTCCTGATAGTGGTTTGTGATTGTTCTGAGAGCTGTCATTTGTTGAGTTATAATTGGTTTGAGGTGTGTAGCTGAAGTGTATCCCCAGTCACAGATTTTATAAGTAAGTATGGGTGGGTAGATGAGGGAAACTTAAGTGTTAGGAGTGCAAGTTGTGGAACAAAATAGCAAATTTTGGGGAGTATCCCTCCCATCTTTGAGACTTTTTTTTTGATATGTTGAACATGTTTGCTATTAGACATAGGAATTTTCTGTAGTGTCTCTTGATTCAAGGAATTACAGTTACCCTCCCCTTCCTTGTATCAAGCTTAACCCCCTGACTGTCACAACCCCAAATCCTGAGGTGTCTCCTGGTGTCAAAAAAATTTTGAAAAAAAAAAAAAAATCTTATGAAATGATAGAGAATCGTTTCACGATGGTAATGACACCAAAAGAACGAAATTTGATGGAAAACTTACGGAATTACGCTCCCTTGAAGTTAGCGACCTTGGCGATATTTATGAATCGGCAATTTCGTCTACTTTGAGCCCTATTTTTGGCTAATTCCATTGTTCCAGTCGACCAAACTCATAACTATTTCTTTAGGACTCCATTTGTTCTATCGATTGAGTACAAGAAACTGCCCATTTACCTATTTTAACTACCCAAAAACGTGGTCATGAAATTTGCAATTTGGCCAATTTCACGCAAATTAAAAAAATATGCCAATTTCAAAATAGGGTCCAGAATGAACAATGTAGACATTCCTGGCTCTAAAATAACATTTTCTTTGTTCATCAGTCACGTCTCCAGGCCCCTTTGATATTACTCTTGCTTACTATTTTGGATTTTTATTCAAACAAAAAATAGAAGATTTACTGTTATGCAGACTACTGCAATATTGTAATAATTGTATAAATAATGTCAACCCATTCATGACTGCATATTAGAATGGCTAGTTGGACATTTATTGGACAATGACATCATTTGCTTACTTTTGAACATCGGCAAAAATCAAACATTTCCCCTAATTTGAGCTCCATTTCAAGGCTCTTTTCATAGTAAAACCAATCAAAATCACCTCTATTTCTATAATATGTTCTCCATTCTATCAAATGAGACCAAGAAAACGAGAATACAACCATAAATACTATAGTACGAAAATACACCGCAAAATCAGTGTTTTAATCCAAAAACACGGTCGGAGTTTTTTTTTTTTCTCATGCATTGCGTGCTGCAGGATTTTTTTTTATATGGTGCACACTGATCACAGACCCATTCTCATATTCCATGAAATAGTTATAGAGTATCTCAAACTGATCAGTATTATTTACAGTTCATGAAAAAGGAGTGGCACTATTTTCTTTACCTTACCTTGTTCTGCCCTTTCTCAAAAGTGTTTACAGAAAACTACAAGTTCAGGTTTAATCTGTATTCTGTTTCTGATTATCAGAAACTTAAATTCAAACTGATACTTCACTTTTTAAAAACTACTACTAATTTGTTTTTTCCAGGATTTAAAGCATATGGTTAAGGATTTTTACATCTTTTCCTCAAACATTTGTTATCTTTGCAGGTGGAAGAGTTTCTGAAACTTGAAGTGGAGCCTGTTTTGAAGAAATATGAAGGCCAGCTAGGAAGCACCTCCACATTAGCCAACTAATTTAATCTTTATTCATTATGATATATTTAAATAATGAATTGTAATACTGCTACTTGCTTATGATTCTTTTTCTTTTATGAAATTTAAAATTGAATTATTATTCTTTCAATGTACTGGCTGTATCCTATTGAGGCAGGGTGGCCCAGAAAGAAAAACAAAACTCATTTTTTAAATTTAGTAATGTATTCAGAATTTCTTCCCTGCCCCACTGTGCTGTATGACCCTCATAGGTTTAACGCTTCATTTCTTATTCTTCTTTCAAGAAACTGGCCGTATCCCACCGAAGCAGAGTGGCCCAAAAAGAAAAACGAAAGTTTCTCTTTTTAACTTGAGTAGTGTATACAAGAGAAGGGGTTGTTAGCCCCTTGCTCCTCGTATTTTAGTCGCCTCTTTTGACACGCATGGCTTACGGAGGAAGAATTCTGTTCCACTTCTCCATGAAGATAAGAGGAAATAAACCAGAACAAGAACTAGTAAGAAAATAGAATAAAACCCAGAGGGATATGTATATATATGCTTGTACATGCATGTGTAGTGTGACCTAATGTAAGTAGAAGTAGCAAGATGTACCTGAAATCTTGCATGTGTATGAGGCAGAAAAAAAAAAACCAGCAATCCTACCATCATGTAAAACAATTACAGTTTATTTTTTATTATAATAATAATAATCTATACTAAATAATGTATAATAAACCCATCAGTTGATGTGTCAGCAGATGGATTTATGAAGGATGAGGTTATCCATAGAATTGATGAGGGAAAAAAGGCGAGTGGTGCGTTGAGGTATATGTGGAGACAAGAAACGTAATCAGTGGAGGCAAAGAATTGAATGTATGAAAGTATAGTGATACCAACACTCTTATATGGGTGTGAAGCTTGGGTTGTAAATACTGCAGCGAGGAGGCGGTTGGAGGCAGTGGAGATGTCCTGTCTAAGGGCAGTGTGTGGTGTAAATATCATGCAGAAAATTTGGAGTGTGGAAATTAGGAGAAGGTGTGGAGTTAATAAAAGTATTAGTCAGAGGGCTGAAGAGGGGTTGTTGAGGTGGTTTGGTCATTTAGAGAGAATGGATCAAAGTAGAATGACATGGAGAGTGTATAAATCTGAAGGGAAAGGAAGGTGGGGTAGGGGTCGTCCTCGAAAAGGTTGGAAGGAAGGGGTAAGGGAGGTTTTGTGGGCGAGGGGCTTGGACTTCCAGGAGGCGTGCATGAGCGTGTTTGATAGGAGTGAATGGAGACGAATGGTATTTGGGACCTAATGATCTGTTGGAGTGTGAGCAGGGTAATATTTAGTGAAGGGATTCAGGTAAACCGGTTATTTTTATATAGCTGGACTTGAGTCCTGGAAATGGGAAGTACAATGCCTGCACTCTAAAGGAGGGGTTCGGGATATTAGCAGTTTGGAGGGATATGTCGTGTATCTTTATACGTACATGTATATGCTTCTAAACTGTTGTGTTCTGAGCACCTCTGCAAAAACAGTGATTATGTGTGAGTGAGGTGAAAGTGTTGAATGATGATGAAAGTATTTTCTTTTTGGGGATTTTCTTTCTTTTTGGGTCACCCTGCCTCAGTGGGAGACGGCCGACTTGGTCAAAAAAAAAAAAAAAAATAATATATATATATATAAAATATATTATATATATATATATATATATATATATATATATATATATATTATAATATATATATATTTTATTTTTTTTTTTCTTTTTATTATCACACTGGCCAATTCCCACCAAGGCAGGGTGGCCCGAAAAAGAAAAACTTTCACCATCATTCACTCCATCACTGTCTTGCCAGAAGGGTGCTTTACACTACAGTTTTTAAACTGCAACATTAACACCCCTCCTTCAGAGGTGCAGGCACTGTACTTCCCATCTCCAGGACTCAAGTCCGGCCTGCCGGTTTCCCTGAATCCCTTCATAAATATTACTTTGCTCACACTCCAACAGCACGTAAAGTTTTAAAAAACCATTTGTCTCCATTCACTCCTTCAAACACGCTCAAAATTTATTCTTTCAAACACACCGGCTTACCCACCGGGGGCGGGGTGGCCCAAAAGGAAAAAACGAAAGTTTCTCCTTTTAATTTAGTAATAAAATACAGGAGAAGAGGTTACTAGCCCTTGCCCCGGCATTTTTAGTCCCCTTACAACACGCATGGTTACGGAGGAAGAATTCGTTCCATTCCCCATGGAGAAAGAGGAAATAAACAAGAATAAGAACTAAAAAGAAAATAAAAAAAACCCAGAGGGGTGTTTATATTGCGTAATGTATGTGTAGTGGGGACCTAAGTGAAAGGGAAAGAAGTAGCAAGACGTACCTGAAATCTTCATGTTATGAGAAAGAAAAAAAAGGAAACCGCAATCCACCATCATGTAAAACAATTACAGGCTTTCTTTTTTAACTCATTGGCAGGACGGTAGTACCCCCTGGGGGTTTTGCTGTCAAACCAACCTACTCCTATATTAATTTATATATTATAAATATTTTTTTAATAAATTATATATATATTATTTATTATAAAATATATATAATTTTTATTTTTTTATCACACTGGCCGATTCCCCGAAGGCGGGGTGGTCCAAAAAAAAGAAAAATTTTTCACCATCTTTCACTCCATCATGTCTTCCCAAAAGGGGGTGCTTTACACTACATTTTTAAAACTGCAACATTAACACCCTCCCCCAGAGTGCAGGCACTGTATTTCCCCATCTCCGGGACTCAAGCCCGGCCTGCCGGTTTCCTAAACCCCTTTTCATAAATGTTACTTTGTCACACCCAACAGCAGTCAAGTTTTAAAAACCTTTCATTCCATTCACTCCTATCAAACACGCTCACGCACGCCTGCGGGAAGTCCAAGCCCCTCCCCAAACAAAACCTCCTTTACCCCCCTCCCCCCAACCTTTCCTAGGCCGCCCCCTACCCCCTTTCCCTTTCCCACTAAGCTGATACACTCTTAAAGTCATTCTTCTCGCTCTTCTCTCTCATGTCCAAACCCCTCAAAACCCTTCCCTTTTCACCCCTCTGGACAACATTTTTGGTAATCCCGCACCCCCCTCCTAACTTCCAAATTACGAATTCTCTGCATTATATTCACACCAAAATTTGCCCCAGACATGCATTCTCCCCTCCACCTTTCCTCGCTGCAACATTCATCCCCCATGCTTAAACACCCAATAAGGTGTTGGTAAAACTATATTCATACATTCCCCCCTTTGCCTAAAAGGACAAATTTTCTTTGTCTCCACAGACTCCTAAGTGAAACCACTCACCCTTTTCCCCTATTTTTCTATGATTCACCTCATCCTTATGACCCACCCCTGACACGCCCACTCCCAAATATCTGAATACATTCACCTCCTCCATTTTCCCTCCCTCCAATCGAACCAGTCTTTCATCACCTAATCCTTTTGTTATCCTCATAACCTACTCTTTCCTGTTTTCATTTTTTAAAATTTTCTTTTTTTAACACCCCTACCAAATTCATCCACCAACCTGCAATTCTCTTCAAAAATTCCCCCAAAGAGCACAGTGTCATCAGAAAAGAGCAACGTGCAACTCCCACTTTATGTGTGATTCTTTATCTTTTAATCCCCCCTCTCGAAAGACCCTCGCATTTACTTCCTCACAGCCCCACTATAAAATAAAAACAACCCCGGGTGACATCACCATCCTTATCAAAGGGCCCTTTATTTTTTACGGGAAAATAATTTCCCCTTTTTCCCTACACACTCTAATTGAGCCTCACTTCCTCGTAAAAACTCTTCACTGTTCAGTAACCAAACCTCCTAACCATACCCCGCAACTCTGCCACTTTCCCCCCCCCTATCCACCCTGTCATCCCCTTTTTTTCCAAATCCATAAATGCCACAAAGACCCTTTACCCTTATCTAAATCGTTCACTATGTTTATGTAAACACCGGTCCCCACACCCCCTAACTTTCCTAAACCCTCCTTGTTCATCTGCTATCCTTTTCTCTGTCTATTTTAAATTTCTTTCAATAATAACTCTACCATACATTTTGCCGGGAATATCACAGATTTCCCCCCTTAAAATTTTTTGCACTCTCTTTTACCCCCTTTGCCTTTATAAAAAGGAACTATGCTCCCTTTCCAAATCCCAGGTCCCTTTCCCCTTTCCTACATTTATTAAATAATTGCACCAACCATTAATATATATAATATGTACAATAAAATATATATACATATACATACACAGTGGACCCGGGGGTTTAAACGATATTTTTCACTCCAAAAGTAGTTCAGGGCCAGTATGCCCGAATTTTTTTTCCCATAAGGAATATTGTGAAGAAAATTAGTCCATTTTAGACCCCCAAACTACGGGTACAAACGTTTAAATAAATACACTTACATAAGGTCGCATTCGGGGGGATTTAGACCTTTTAGCCTTATTAAATACTGTTCATTTATGTTTCACGAAAACACCTGGTCCACACCCCCCCCTATTTTCCAAAAGTCCTTTTTCATTGCTATCCTATTCTCTGTCTTACTCTAAATTTTTCAATAATAGCTCTACATCATTTCCCAGGTATACTCAACAGACTTACCCCCCTATAATTTTTGCACTCTCTTTTACCCTTTGCCTTTATACAAAGGAACATGCATGCTCTCTCCCATCCCTAGGTCCCTTACCCTTTTCCCATCTTTATTAAAAAATTGCCCCAAAACCAATATATAAATATATATATTACATTATTTATATAACATATCATTAATATACTACAAGGGGCCCCCGGGGTTAACGATATTTTTTCGCTCCAGAAGTACGTTAGGTGCCAGTACTGACCAAAATTTGTTCCCAAAAGGAATTTTGTGAAAAAAATTTAGTCCATTTTAGACCCCCAAACATACCGTACAAACGCACTTACTAAATCACTTACAAAATTTTGGTGCATTCGGAGGTTTGATCGTTATGCGGGGGTCCACTGTATTAAAATTTATTTATATATTATATTATTATATAATATATAAATATATATATATTTTTATATAATATTTTTAATATATATATAATATATATATATATATATATATATAATATATATAATATATTTATAATATATAAATATAATAAAATATAATATATATAATTTTAATATATTTTTAAAAATAATAATTATAAAATTTAAAAATTATAAATTAATATAAATAATATATAATATATATTATATATATATATAATATATATTAAAAAATATATATATATATATTTATATATATAATATTATAAAAATATAATATATTATATATATATATATATTAATTAATATAATAAATTATTAATATATTAATATATATATAAATAAAAATTATATTTAATAAAAAAAATATATATATAAGAAAGTGTTGAATGGATGAAAGTATTTTTTTTTTGGGGATTTTTTTTCTTTTTTGGGTTTCCCCCCGCTCGGTGGGGCGCCCAAACTTGTTGAAAAAAAAATATAATTTATTAATATATATATAATATATATATATATATATACATGACATGAATATATTTTTATAAATATATTTTTATTATATACTAATTTTATATAAATATATTTTTTTGTACGTGGACCCTCAACCAGGAATTAACCCGTTCCTGAGGCTCATTTTAATAAAAAATAACGTTACCCAAAAGTAAATTTTCCCCTACGAAAAAATGGAAATCAAAAAAAACCGGCAAGAACCCCGAATATTAAAAAAAAAAAAAATTTTACCACATGAAAATTAATTTTAATACACACAAACTGAAAAAGACATCACAGTTACATGACATTTACCTTTATGAAGATTGGTTTGGGGTTTTATGGGATGGGAGGGGGGAACCGTTGAATCTCGTTAGTGTTTAGAAGGGGAAACCCCCTTTTATTAGCACTTGAGGCACAAGTCTTTTTTTTGGGGTTACTTCCCTTTTTTTTTTAATGCCATAGGGCCACTTCAGGTCATGGACTTCTGTCGCAAACATTCTGTCCATAAGGCCTGTACCTTCGTTCCTTATCCTAAAATGTTTCACAACATTGTCGTGTAATAGTCCCACACGGGTTGCAATGCTGTGGGGGGTATTTTCATCAAAAAAAGGTTTTACTTTAAACCAATTGCACACATTTCCTTTAAACTTTGAAGTAGGAATTCTTCAAATTTTCCCTTCCCCCCCTCGAACGTTTCCTCAGGTCTGGCCTCTTGCTTTGAAGATGACTAGCAGCTCACAGGGTTTGTTTTTCATTGGCCTCCTCCACCAACTCTTCCACATCCCCCCCCTAACAACCAATTGAGCACAGTTCAGGGATTTTTTTTTTGTTCACCTGGGTGTTAGTCAATGTTTGGGCGCATCCTGGGGGACAAGATTAAGGACCCCCAAGGAAATAAATTGACAGTCCTGATGATGGGACTGCTTTTTGGGTTATTCTGGGTGGGTAAACCCCCCGGGGGTTTAACATTTCTCGGTAATTTTTTCACGTTAAGCCCACCAAAAACACTCTCTCCACATCTTCGAGAATAAACTTTTGGGGGTGCAGCAACAAAAACGCTGACTGTGGGGCAGCAGCAGCTCACCTTGGAAGAAAAAGCTTCCTTGA